AATGACTTTCTAAATAAAATGAACCTTTTTTAATTACTGAGCACGTTTTCTTTTGGATTGAATTTAAATGCAAATAGATTTTTCGATGCCTTATTTAAATTGAGTAATTAGCATGAAATTCAGCAGAAACTTTGCGTGGAGTTCAAAATGCAAAAAAAAAAAGATTAACAATGCATTTCAGGCAAAAGCATATCACTTACAAAATTATATTTTCCTACTGCTATAATAGTGGTTGATATAGAAAAGGCAGACTGTGGTGTTTTTAATGTCTAGTCGACATATACATGTAAATGACAGCGTGCTATCACAATTTTATTTTTTTTTTCACAGATTTTTCAATTAAGTAAAAGCATCATGTGCAATTCGTTTAACATACAGAGTACTCTTTTTCTGAAGTCAAATGAGTTATTTTATCTCATTGGAAAAATCTTTTTGGTATACCAACAGTTACTTCTATCATTTTCTTAAGCAGTTGTTAGCATTCTGCAGTAAGTGTTCCACATGTGAGATTCCTACGTCTTAAGAGTTTTCTTTTTCTTTTTTAAATTTAGGATACTTGACCTTTATTTTGACCCTTGCCATGTTTGTGTTTAACAGATAAATATGAAATGCCTGTGTGTAGTGGATGAAGTGAACCTAGGAATTCAAAAAATTAATTCTACATGGAACATATGTGATCATCTTCAATTAAAAGAACTAAACTGCTGCAACTGGCATAGTTATTAGCCCGAGTTTGTATCTCTTAGTATTAAAGTACACTTTAGCTTAATCTTTATGCTAAATCTTAAGGTGCATACATTGTAATATACATTATTAGTAAGAGAAGTATTGCATAATCATTGTCTGAATCACTGAGAGGACAAATCAGGATACCAGCAAGTAATTGATACCTTAATCACGTGACAAGTTTAAGATGCACAAGGTGTGAAATGGCATTCCATTAATACATATGTGTCGCATGTTCTGTTGACAAAAGTGTATTGCCTTCATTAATCATTATGCCACTCACCAGTTAATATATGTGAATAGAAATTCTACAACTACGTTATTTTCTGTACAAAATAAGTATAATGATGCGTCTGTATGTGTTTCTTTCAGCGATAGGTGCAATATATGATAAAAGTAAATATTACAGTTGCCTATAGAATATCAAAAACATAATTTGGAGTGTGGTAATATAAATAATTCAATTTTTTTTTAAATTCGTTTTATTATCCTTGATTGGAATTGAGCTTGTACAATACGATTACGAAAACTACACTTTAAATTGCGTGGTAGAGGTACATGTAGAATTCATTTTATGAGCATAAAAGAGTTTGACACAGGTGATTAACGATTAATTTCAACTGTGGAAATCCAGAGGAGGAGGTTGCTCTCTTCTTGAATCTTGCTTGGCAAAATGTGTAATGACTTAATGACTTTGCTTGAAAATAGATTACGATTCCGAGTGGAAAAATATCCTTAAATATATCGATAAGTTGATACTATTATGAAATATTTCTTTTACAAGTAATACTATGACTTTTCCCGAGCACTTTTCGGGTATACTCGCAACAATTGAAAAATAAAACCGTCACGTGCTCAACAAAGTCATGTGATGTCACAACATACGTATGTGTTAATTTACAACTGAGGGAACCCTTTACACACAGGCCTTTGGATCGCTTAAATCCGACTTATGAAAATTTTGGGGTAAAAATGTCGAGTAAAAAATATAGGTCAATTTTGGAATTGATTTCAGCATATCTCGGGGAGTATACCGAATTTCGGAATGAACTTTGGTAGTAATGTAGGTTGTTTATATGTAAATAGATATGAATAGAAAGTAAAATTTTAGATCATGTGATTTAAAAGTATTTTATTGGCGAAAGGAGGTACCCTATGAAATGAGTTCCATACCTTTATTTTTTTTACACCCCAGATTTTTGTAAGTCGGATTAAAGCGATCTAAAGGCCTGTGCCTTTACATAATTGGTTGTACTGCAATTGCCATACATGTTACAGTATCTCGGTCGAGATTTAAAGCCTGGCTTACACAAAACAATTCATGAATCTCCATCCCGATTTCGGCATATCTGCACTATACTAGGACTGGTTTTCTTTATTTACTTAAAAATGGTGTTATTTTCTTGAATTTACCAGATTCATTAAAATCTAGGGCGTGTTGAAATTTTTGTATACTGGATTGAGGGGAAATGTTTAGGTCCTGCACATGATACAGTATTCAAGCACCTGCTCGACTGAAACAAACCCGTGTGCCCTGCTAAATGCTATGTATTTATTGGTACTAAAATCTGTATAAGAATTGTTTTACAAAATGTAAAAGGTCGCCCGCGTGGCGCAGTGGTTAGAGCGTCTGCTCTAGAGTCGCGAAGTAAGGAGTTGATCCTAACGTCGCGGGTTCGAATCCCACTGTGGGACGTGGAGACCGGTCCTTCGGATGAGACCGTATAAACCGAGATCCCGTGTCGCAGTAGGTGCTGGCACGAAAAAGATCCCTCACTGCTCAATGGCCGTAAGTGCCGAGTATAGGACAAAATTTGCAGCTCTCCACCGGCAAGTGGTATCGTCTCCATATGAGTGAAAAATTCTCGAGAGGACGTTAAACAACAAACAAACAAACGAACAAAATATAAAAGTAAACCTCAGAAATAAGACTGCCTACTCAAAATTGTGCAATTTTATAAAAAATATATAGCAAAACTTAATACTGTAACCCAGTCTGCAGTTATGTTTATGTGTAAATCAAAACCATGCAAGCTCACAGTTCAACATTGTTTTTAACGCTCTTTAAAGTTTCGGGTATCTTTTACATATTTGCGTGGCTTGGTATATATCTACCGTTTTCTATTTTAAAAGCAATGAACCATTGCGAAAATTGACACGATTTTCTGATCTCTGGATTGCAAATCTCTAACATAATTAAAAATGCATTTATTTATTTTAATAAATGATAAGTTCTAACTTGATGCCCTTTGGCTTCATGTACCACAGTCCACTAAACAGTTTTTCGTACCTTTCATTTTCAGAAAATGCAATTTTTTTGTTCGCAAAATGTTCTGGTTTACACTTCGACGTATTATTTGAATCTTATGTTAGAATAATTTAAAATATTATTTAAAATTTACCTTCCGGAAAAGTATGAATTTACCTGAATTATGGAGCGTCCCTCCTTATATCAGACACAGAAAGTGAATATCTCACATTATACATAGCAAAACTGACTAGGGATTTTGTCCATGCATCTGTCTAAATCAACTTTTAAAAAAATATATTTTGCTTTTTTTAACATTTTCCTTTGATTTTCTCTCGGTTGCTAGATATTTTCTTTAAAACGTATAAAGACCTTGTCTATTTAAAATTAGCAAGAATAGGAGTATCTGCATTTAAATTTAAAAACAAGTTCAAATCAAGCCGTAGCATGCGTAAAGTGTCTTTGTCATTCTTATCCAAGAATTTACATTCCCATTGGCCAAGAAAAACATTTGGCAACTTATTTACATGTATTCATTGAATCTGTTGTATCTACGTGTTACCACTAAATCACGTCCTTATAAACAAATAAAATTTGCTTTCCCACGAACATTTAACCCCACGAATAAAAATATTTCTCCAGAATCAATTCCTAACAGAATTCAAAATACGCATAACATAGCCGCTCTGTATTTTCTCGGTGGAGAAAGTTTTCACCGCTGATAATCTGGGAATATGTTTTAGAAAGAATTCATTTCGCATGCAAGATAAAAAAAACGAGAATAATTACGTCTGGTTAAATTTTCAAACTTGTGTCTCCTTTACCAGAATGATTTAACAGATTTACTCACTTTAATTCCTAGGTGAAGTGAATTGTGTCAGGATTGTCTTTCAGGTGAGTGACGTTGCCCACAGCCCTTTTAAAATTAGCACTGTGTGTTGAAGAGACGTACACTCTGATGATAAATGGTCTAGAAATATGACAATTTACATTTAGAATGCGGTTAATGATTCCACAAAAAAAAAATTCCATGTACAATTAGGTGCATCATATATTCAAAACTATTAGAAATTAAATCGGGGTTTTTATCTTGCAGAACAATCCCGCGATGAAAATATATTACGAAAGAGGTTTGCTTGTTAATTACCAGAAAAATATTTAACTAACAGAATGTATAAAACTTTTTTTTTTTTTTTTTAGATCTAAAAGCATTTAATAAATTAATAAAAATAATAAAATGAATGAAAATGATTTCAGAACTGCTTCTTTATTTTCAACAGATGTGAATCGTGGAAATTTTTACCTTGATAATATCAACCTATATACAGTTCTTGATGCCCTTTCTCCTTTTTCACAATCTCTTCTCAGATAATTTCTTGCATAATTAATATGGAAAGCAATCTTCAGTAGCGTGAAATACCATTCATTTTAATTTGTACGAATAAAGGGCTTGTTTTGACAGTAAGTAAAACATTCAAACGCTGTCGTCACCTGGTGTGTCACGAGGTCAGATTTTATTATTGTACGACTAAAGTGACATAGGACAAAAATAAAATTAATGAACATACTTGTTTGATAATTTCTTCGTTTAAATCATGGAAAAAGTTTACAGTCTTATGATACTGCGTTTATATTTACAAATAAGTTTTAATGTTCATTACAAATACCTTGTGCGGATGTTTTTCTTTTGGAGGAGAAAAATGACCACATGACCTTAATGACTATAAATAATTGTGGCATATTTGAAAAAAATAATGTGAGAGTTAGGGATGTAAATTGACAATTACGTTAGTTTACGATTTACAAATAAACGCGATATTCAATTTATTCTTTAAACGTACGGACTGGCTGCATTTCTGAGTAGAAAAAACGTACGGAAAGAAAGAGTGAATTACCGATTTTCATTTTTGTTCATAATGTGATATTTACAAATGTCACTGCCAGTCGCACGATGACTTCCTGTAAATAAGTGGATGTTTAGAAATATACAACAACAATTTCTTCAACATATTAAAAAAAATAAGGCATTTTACATTAGCCGTCAAGGTGAAATGTATCTTGAGCGCAAGAGTTTAAACCGATACATGAAAGTACTGAGACAAGATGGATCAAAACTTAAGTGAATTTACAAGAAATGGAATATATGTGTATAAAAATCGGCCACGGATTGAAAGTTCTAAGGTAAGGTTTGATGAAAATACAAACAATACCAGAGTATTAAAATTTGTTCATTAAAAAGAAAGGGTAACGTTAACCTGATCGCGCTTTTAGTAATGATAACAACTGAAATATAAGGGCTGGGTATTGGTTGTGTTGCGGTATATTGCGATCTTTGGAACCATATTGCGATATGTATTGCAATATTTTAATAACAGATAAAATGCTCTTTTCTTCTTTTATTAACCTCCATTTATAAGCAGAGTGTATAAAACTTTTATAAGTACATGTACGTTATATAAAAAAAAATCTAGTTAATTTCATTATAGTTTGGTAACGAAATTGCAACAATACAACTGAAACCTTTACTGTTTGGTATTGTTTGTCACGATTGAAAACGTTTCTGACATTTGTAATTTCATATTTAGAAATCTAAAGCCCAAGCATTTTCCCGGTATATCGGTACTGGAAAAACGTATCAAAATACGATATTTTTTACGTTAACAAATCGCAATATACCTGAATATCGATATTATTGCGCCGCCCTATGAAACATGCTTACATGTCAATTAACATCTACTTTTAAAATTGATAGTTCAGGCGCGTACCGGCCTGTACGCAAATGCGTACACGTCATTTTCCGTACCGGTCTGTACGCAAATGCGTACACGTCATTTTCCGAACCCCCAAATAACAAGATGTGGTTTTGAAACAATGCCCCCGTATGGCAGCTTATGGCGAAGGTTATAATTTCTCAAATGCAAGTCAACCTCCAAGGTCAAGTTCAAGAGATAAAAGAAAATGTTACCCAGAGAAAAGACTTATGTCAATAGATATACCTGGTAAATATGAAAGCCAAAGCACCAACCATTCAAAAGTTATGGTCAAAGATGTTTTCTAAAAGTGGGTCAAACTACAAGGTGAATGTCAAAATTTATGGTACGTAGGGGAAGAACTTGTTATAAGAACTACACATGCACAAAATATGGAAGTCTTAACACCAACTGATCAAAAGTTGAAAAAGGGTAAAGTTTTTCAAAAGTAGGTCAAACTCCACGGTCACAGTCAAAGTTTTTGCGGGCAAACAGATAAACAGACAAACGGACAGGGCAAAAACTATATACCCCGAATTTGCGATGACGGGGGCATAAAAAATTATTTAAAAAAAAAGGAGAGGGTTTTTTTTTTGGAGAAAGAAATCTATCATTAGCAAAAATTTTGTGTTTAAAATTATTTTGTTTCATATTGTTTCTATTCAAATCTTTTTTACAATAATAAAATTTGAAATATTTGTCTAAAATCGTTGTCAAAACCAAATATATTGGTTACCAATGTTCTGTAACACACTGATAATTTTCTAAAAAGATCTTTGAGAAATAAAGAATATTGGCAATCAAGGTGAGCGAAGTGCCTTAGTGCTACAAACATGAAAGTGAAGAATTAAATCTCAATTCAGCAAAATTGTCGTTAATATTTTGTATAACCTCATAGTAAACGTTATGTGAAATCTCTACAATTTGCAAAAAATCTTACAAAGATTAAATGAAATTAATCAATGGCGGATCCAGGATATTTGTAACGGGGGAGGAGGGGGGCACAATAAAAGGTAGGGGGAGGGGGGCTGCATTGAAGCCCCTAGTTGATCAAAGGCAAGGCCCTGGTGGGGGTCCGGCACCCGGAAGCTGACAAATTCTTACAAATAAGAGATGTTTTTGCTTGATTTAGGATAATGGACGTACAAGTTCTACATATACGTGTACAAATTAAAACGGGGGGGGGGGGGGCTGGCGCTCCGGCCCTTGGTCCCCTTTTTATTACCCTATTTAATAGCATACACACACTAAATAGGGCAAAATTATCATTTTCTCATACCTTTACATAATTTTTCGATATGAGTGGCCAGAGTGGGTCTTCACTCAATTTTTTTTGGAAGTTTATCCTCAATGTATGCGTAAAAATAAACAATTTTTTGTTAACAAAACATGGAGCTAAGACCCACTATGCCTCAAAGTCACACTTTTTTGAACAACAATCGCATCTTTCCGAGAAATACTTGCAGTCAATTTAGTCAAAGATCACATCACAAATATAATTTAAATGCCACTATTCATCAAGAGCTGTGTAGCGAAGTGGTAAGCGTGGAAGACTTAAAGTTTATAGATACTCAGGGTTTTTATTGCTAGTTTTCGACTCCTAGGATAACCACATCATTTTAATAACAGAATAATATTTAATGAGAAAATTTCTCAGAAACGGTTTGTTAATCAGAATTTCATAAATTTCAATATTGAGAACTTTACTGTAAATACTAAATTCACAAACTGGACATTATTTTTACATATCTGAAATTTAAGGCATTCTGCACGCCTTGTTCATCCATCTCCTTCCAATCGCATCGTAGAATGCGTTGATACAATACTGTATGATTTAAAATACGCTGTGTTAATAACGTTTATTATACTCGTTGTTGAGTGTTAAAAAAGAGTAGATGATACCAACATATAAACATGTACATGTTTTAAAATTTTCAGCCTCAATTACATATTCAATAAGTCTCCACAGAAGTATTCATTTTTGCGTTAAAAACAGTATTACCGCATCTTTTATTTTGTAAAGAAAAGCGAAATAGTGTAATTTTTCCCATTAAAATAATTGAAATACTTAGTAAAAACCCAAGAGATTCCGAGGGCTTGACCCGCTGGGAACCTCACCCCGTACCGTTCTCTGCGTTCACTTCATTTTTATTCTGTCTTTGCATCTTGATATATAGAGCATACTAATAATCGGAAGTATTTAAGCAATTTTAGGCGATTAAAATTGTCACTTGTGACCAGGTTTTAGGGTGTTTAGTTACCCTCGCAGCCACGAACGAGTCATAACTCATAACCTAATCAAATACCGTACTGGATCAAGAGAGTTGTAATCCTTGACGCGCAAAAGATATTTCACTAATATTTGATAACGGAATTGTAATTCATAAAACAGTGAACATTTAAACGTCTGATCTGACGAGCTTCAAATTTTATTATTAAAAAAAGTTAAGTGTAAAAAAAAAATAGATAAGGTCTGTGTCATGGGTTTTGTTTGAATTATGTACAGTTGATAAGGAAAAAAATATCTGCAGAATTTAAAAAAAAACAACAACAAAAAATACAAACAAAATTTAAAAATAAGGACTTCTTCCTCACCTAATCAATTTTTCATACAATCTCACAATAAGACAAACAAAGCTGTGAACTGTTTATTCAGTTATTTAACAGACTCTAATACTTTACATAATTATTGTTGTAAGTTCTGTAACAGCAATGATTCAACTCGCGTCAGATATTAAAACCAACAAAGATGTCAACCATGCAAGTTCTTTTAAGAGAAAATACAAAAAGCATGGTTGAACTTAATAAATAATAATAAATATATTATTATGAATGTTTTCTTTCATAAAAGACCGTTCACGGTAGCTCCGTCGGTAGAGCGCTCGCTCCATGATCGGAAGGTTGTGAGGCCACAACTGACCTAAGTCGATAAAAAAATGGGTAGCAACTGTTCCTTCGCCATGCACTCGGCACTTTGAAGTGAAAGTTGCGGGTCCTTCGGATGAGACCTTAAAAACCGAGGCCCCGTGTCACGGCAGGCGTTCCTCACTGCTCAATGGCCCTGAGTGCCGAGTAAAGGTCAAATTTTAAAGCCCTTCAACGGTATACGGTGACGTCTCTATATGAGTGAAAAATGGGACGTTAAACAACACACAATCAATCAATCAAACTTTTATAAAAGTAACAGCTATTTAATATCACTGAAAGATACTTTTCATAATTACTGCTGTAAAGTGCAGGTGCTCCGAAATCCCGTCATCTCATTCTACCACGGCACATGACACTAATCCAGGAATGTCCAAGCCCAGCGATGTACCATCATGATCATGCTGTACTTCCTAAATCGCAGCCCCAGTAATATCGCCTCTCACTCCATCCCTCCTATCAGTGGCGCAGTGGTTAGAGCGTCTGCTCTAGAGTCGCGGCGTAAGGAGTTGATCCTTACGTCGCGGGTTCGAATCCCACTGTGGGACGTGGAGACTGGTCCTTCGGATGAGACCGTATAAACCGAAGTCCCGTGTCGCAGCAGGAGCTGGTAGGGAAAAGATCCCTCACTGCTCTATGGCCGTAAGTGCCGAGTATAGGACAAAATTTGCAGCTCTCCACCGGCAAGTGGTGGCGTCTCCATATGAGTGAAAAATTCCCGAGAGGGACGTTAAACAACAATCAATCATTCAATCCTTCCTACCAAAACATCGATTTTTATGTATGACATACAGAACAATGGTCAGAATAATCGCTCGACACCTTATTTACTGAAAGAGATTATTTTAATAATAAAATTACCAAAGTTACAACTGAAATGTATAAGGAGTAAGTATACAAATTATTCGAACACACTCACCGGCTAGAACTGCACGCATCCACTACAATACTTTACCAAGAAAAAATAAATGAAATGAAATGAAAAAAAAAAACGTGCACAGATTCGACAGTATGGAACACCTTTACAAGAAGACCTTGAACTGCATTTACATCAAATACAGAAAATCAACTTCGTCAGTCTATATGTTTATTATCCATAATTATTTGATTAATTTATATTTAAATATTTAATTCTTACTGTAAGAACCAATCTGTAAAATTTTTGTAAACCGTTGATGCAATGTCTGTAGAAATTAAGAATAAAATGCTTCATACGCTGTTTGTTAACCGTACAAAAAAGCCCAAGGCCACATGGCTTACCTGAGAACTTTGTCTAGAGAAAAGAAGAAGCAAGCTCAGTATTGAATCTTTCAAACTCAGTATTGAATCTTTCAAACAAGTTTTATCTTTTTCTGGCCCAGTGGTTTTCGAGATGATGATTTTTAAAAACTGCCATATATTTTGCACTAATTCTTAATTATCTTGCCTTGAAATATTCATGAGAACAAACTTAAATCCCCCTTACCTAAGGATGCATCGTGGCCAGTTTGGTTGAAATTGGCCTAATGGTTCTGGTGAAGAAGCTAACTTGAGCCTTTGGCTCAGGTGAGCTAGGAGGACTGCTTCCTGCTGGTCAATAATCATTACATCCTAAAATAATATATTTAATATATTAACATCACGTGGATTCAAGTTGACGCTTTCCATTTAGCAGGTACGAGTTAGTCAACCTTGAGTTGCCAATAAGATGTTATTTTATTATATTTGAACTGCGTACTAATTTATATTGTCGGCTAGGAAAAATTAATTTTCTAATAATCTGAGAAAAAAAAATGATAGGCGGATATTCCAGCTCATAAAAAAAGTTAACCTTTAGAAAAAAAATTCTTATCCCTATTGGATGTATCCTTATATACTGGATGTATTGGTTAATATTATACCTTGGCATATACGTGTATGTCTTCTTTCAGTTTGTACCTTATTTAGAAGATCCTACCTGGGTATCCTTGACGTGTAATAGAAAAAACTGTTGTGGAACCGACAGTAATTTTAGATCAATCGACACTAATTCCCTGGGAATGGGAAGTACTTTCGGTGAGATTGGAAGCCCTTCAGATGTGTCGTCTTTAGGGCCAGAAAAGGACAGAGGATTCCTCAATAAGGATACATCAAAACGAGGCAAAATGGCAGTGCTGTTTTTAGTTCTAATCATTCTGATTACTTTCATTGCTGCAGCTGTTGGTGTAACACTAAGCTATGTCCACCACCGAGGTTAGTTAAATGGAGGTAAACAAATGCTGGGTATTTTGTTAAATGATGTGTTTAAATGCTGTATACATATGTGATAGAAGGGACATACATGAAGACTAAAGAAAGTGAATGGAAAATAGTGGAAATTAGTCTTACATTCAACTGAAGCAGTAATGCTGGACATAAACACAGGAAAACTTTCCAACATAAGGCTCAGGGGGTCGGGAGCGGTAGAGAGGCACATGATCACATTTCTTGTGTTTCCAGGGGTCCGTGTGTTTGCCCTGTTCATGATTTGTTTTGTTTACTGAATTTATGATATTATTCATCGTTAGATAACTTGATATTATGTATATAAAATTGAATAAATATTGTATAAATATAAATGCCCATTACAACAACCGTGAACCTCGTGATCAGTGCGTGGAGATGACCCCAAAATATTGTTCTCTAAAATACAGAGTCCACAGTACTCCAAAAACCTCAAATTAATGTGATTGCATTATCATGCAGTGCATTTTTTGAGTATTTGAATATACGATAAGTATGGCCTGTAAGACAGTTATGTGAAATAGGGACATTCAGTTAGAACAAAGGTCAGATTTGGCATAATAATATATACCACAAAACTAACGAGTTATGCAATAATCATCACGTGTCAAGAATGAGGCCCCAGAGGGGTTGAAGTTTATTTAGAAACAGTAAATGCGAATCATCTGAACAACAAGACCTATATTTTCATAAAAAATACATATACATTCAACTCATCATTCTGCAACATTTACCATTCCATAGAATTTAAAATGAATGTTTTATAAGGAAATTTGTTACAACATTCTTTTCTTTTCAATGACTACAAGTCGCCCGCGTGGCGCAGTGGTTTTAGTGTCTGCTCTATAGTCGCGAAGTAAGGAGTTGATCCTTACGTCGCGGGTTCGATTCCCACTGTGGGACGTGGAGACCGGTCCTTCGGATGAGACCATATAAACCGAGGTCGCAATAGGTGCTGGCACGAAAAAGATCCCTCAGTGCTCAATGGCCGTAAGTGCCGAGTATAGGACAAAATTTGCAGCTCTCCACCGGTAATGGTGGCGTATCCATATGAGTGAAAAATTCTCGAGAAGGACGTTAAACAACATACAATCAATCAATCTATCAATCAATTGCTTCAAAGTGTATAGTTATTCATTTTTAACATACATCAGCATCATTTCTTTGGATTTAGATTCAACCTACTGAAATCATATAGTTTAAAAAAAAAAAAAACGCGGGTCCATAAATTGAATGTTCATTTTCACTGAAAGATTACTTAGGACCAGAGTTTGAGTCATTTATTTTGACCAAGTCCAATTATGAATATTGTATATAGGCGCTTTAGAAAATTACTGCACGGGGTAAATTTCGGGTAGACTTTACTTTACCGGTCCCCAGATCCGCAAGATCCGCGCGCTCATTGCACTATGACGTAAGATTTACGTCACTCAACTGATTAGGGTTAGTTTTGCACATTTTTCGACTGATTATGGTTAGTCTTGCACCCACCTGAAAGAATAGGGTTAGTCCTTGCACAAGTATTCGCTTGATTAGGGTTAGTCTCGCATCTATCCGAGAGATTAGGGTTAGTCCTCGCACATGGGTTAGTCAGCATAGCCATATGTCTCCGCCTGTGAGATTTGGGTTAGTCCTCGCATACCATCCGAGATATTAGGAAAAAATGACTAGGTACGAAAGAAACGGCACTAAGCATGCGCCGCACGCGCTTCGTTGACAATTATTTTTTGTCTCCTTTTCACTGAATAAACAATATTTATTACTTTTTTTCAGAGAACGAGGTTAAAAACTTAGTTTAAAAACGAAGTTTTAAACTAAACTTTTTACCGTAGAATTCGATTTTAGGGTCAAAAAGGCTTGAAATCTCATACTTTTTATTTTTTTTCGATCGCTCACGCGATCTCATATTATACTGAAGTCGCCTACATCGACACTATATTTTAGCGCGTTTTTCTGGGGACCGGTAAAGTAAAGTCGTTCCTAAATCGGTACCTTTATTTTCTCTCTTCAGATATTGTGAGACTCCATGTGAATTTCAGTGTTGATAATTACAATGACACGCTAATATACCAGAAGCAACAGGAAGCTGAGGTGGCTGAATTCTGTAGGAAGGTACTAAGAATATGTAGGCGTGATTTCATGTTAACTTTATACCATGTCAAAGAATTTTACTTGATTTTCAACTTTTAAATATTGCAATAAACACTATTCAGCAATACAGTGTTTATAGCAAAGTGTTTATTTGCTTCAATTATTATGTATTAAAAAAATAAAATTAATAAAAAACTATGTATCTCAGGAAGATTTTAATTAAGTACCATAATTTAAATTAACTAAAGAAACAGAAATAAAATTTATGTTGAAAGTTGTAAAATTGTTTAGATCTACTGTATACAGGTTTATTTTCGTCCCATGTTATTTTCGCTCTTTTAAATTTGGAAATATTTCCCGTTTTAATTAGCCCAATTACAGTTTTGTTGAAGAAATTCTACTGTGTTCTTTAAATCCCCCCGTTTAATCCACCTGTCAGTAGGGCGAAAATAAAACGGGGGCGAAATATCCCTGTATATACATACAGTATTTAAATTATAGTCCTAAATGCTTATTTTTAGGTAAAGGATGCATTTCGTTCAACAGGACTTATATCTCATTTTATTGAATGTAAATGTGTGGACACCAGGTGAGGTATTTTTTTCCATGAAAATGTATTAATTACGAAAAAGTTGTAGCTTTCCTCCTTAATTTGTCGTCATATTTCTACGTGCGAAAATTTTAGGTAATCAAGTAATTTTCGCACTTTCTTTAGTTTATACAGTATTTATACATATATATATAAAATGATAAAGATTATCATCAAAGTAATTCTTCCTATAAATTTTCGAGATATGAAGGATTCAATGCATTGTTCGAAAAAAAAAATTGCATACAATGAAAAGCCCCAAATACTATATTTTCTTCTTTTCTTATTTATTTTTAATTCATCTTTTTATTGGCTTACGTCAAATTATTCTCTTTTGAATATCTTTCTTCGCAGTTATTATATTTTTAAAAAGGTTGATTAATGATTTCAGCAAACAATATCTTTTCATGAGGGCAGTTGATTTCTCTATACAGTAAAACACGCTTATAACAAAGTGCCAGGGACGGGCAATTTGCTTCGTCATAAGCGTAATTCATTACATCCATTAAGTTTACAATATTTTAAACTTACGGGGAATGAAAATCATGCACTTCCTTGTAAGCGTCAATTCGTAATCTGCGTGTTTGCTATAATCAGGTTTTACTGTATTATGTGATCAAATTCGGTTGTAGACAGACGCTAAGCAAAGTGACGTTCTCTTTTCTACTTGATTTTACTAATAACAAAGACACAGAAGATATGGATCAAATCAAGCGGATCATCATAAGTGTCGTAAATGAAAGGAAGAGGCATTTAGAGCTCAGAGCACTGTATTCTCGCCCATCTCAGCCAACAGCAGATAAGGAAGGTACAGTAATAATCCATTAATATAAAAGGTGAAGATAACGTACAATGATCGGTCTCAAAAAATCTACAAAGATACAGGGCATAAAACGCAGACCTATGGAAATTCCAAAGATGGATCAGGTGCCTAGGAAAAGTAAGCATCCCCTGTCGACCGGTTACACCTACCTTCATTCCTATGTATTGATCAGGAAGACGGAGTAATCCAGAGTCAAATTAAGTGTAGGAATAAAGGCCCAACAAATGGTATAAAATATTCAGTCAAAATACAACCCAATGATAGGATGCTATTGCTAACAAGATCATTTATAATGAGTCGCCCGCGTGGCGCAGTGGTTAGAGCGTTCGCTCTAGAGTCGCGGAGTAAGGAGTTGATCCTTACGTCGCGGGTTCGAATCCCACTGTGTGTTAACTGAAGCAAGTTATAGCATGTATATCTTTAACTAAGATGTCTTGATAAGAGATTTCGTTATAAGCAAATTTTAGTGGATTTGAAATTAACAGTTACCTGCTGATAATCATTGGGTATAGAGTACGTGTTTGCTAGTGAAGATCAATAGTGCATGCATGTGTGCTTTATGCACATCTCTATATAAATTGTAAAGAGTAAACATTGGACTTTGATTTTTTTTTTCTAATCTCACAGCTAATGCGAGTACTTCTTTAAACATTTGTTTTTAGGCCCTGTTATACTGAAGACAAAAAAAGAAGGAACTACAAAATCCCCGGTATTTGTGAAGACAACTCCTGCTGAAATGAAGTCCACAACACAGAGAAATAGACAAATATCTTCAAAAACTAATTCCACTACAACAAATACCAATACGGCATCAAGAAGCAATGTTAAGAGTATTCAAGAAATGACGGTCAAAACTACAACCATTGCAACAAAAACAGTCTCCACGACACCGGGAATGAATGCGTGGGACAGACTATTGTCTCAGTTAAACATCACCTGAGGTAGATGACAGGGAGGACAATACAGTTGATGTCTACTGTTATTTCCTTTCAACCTCGTTCAAAGAAGTTTAAATCTTTTGTCATTAAATCTTGACTTTCCATTTTTTTCATTGCTTGTTTGCTTGGAACTCTTAATATCAGAAGATCAAGTGTTATACTAAGACTTGCAAAGTAAACATGTATGGGAAACCGCATGTATTATTGTAAATTACATTGTATGTAAACTTGTCTGTATATATTACATGTACATATAAAGAGTTTCATGATACATTTTGTAATTTCTTGAGTACTGTGCTATTGTTATCCTTGCAAAATTTGTTTTCAGCTTGTTAAAAAATTAAGCTTTCCTCACTTTCGTTTGACGAAAAAAATGTTTCAAGTGGTAAATGATAAAAATGAAAGATCTTTTAAAACTTTCCAAAATTATAATACCTGAAAACTGCATGTTAACCATACTACTTTTACCTTTGCTAAATCTATACTTGTAAATTAATAAAGTTTGCAAATAAACTCTGAAACGGGTGCACCAGAGTTATTTCTAACTCCTCTATGAATACACTAGATACAAGATGATGTCCGTAAACTATATTCAGATTTAACTCGAATAGTAAGTATCGTACATTAAATTAAAAGTCTCCTTTCAATTTCTATTAACAGCCATGAAATAGCAAACACGTGAGTACGGTGGCGATTCTGGTTGGCGGGTCTAAGTTACTGGCAATTTTTAATGAAACTGACAACAAGCAATCGTTTATTTGTTTCATTAAACGTAATCAAAACTTGATTTAAATGATATTAAAGAAATGAAAGAAAAAGTGAGCAAGTTCACATACCCCACGCTTCCCCAAAACTCGACAATGCAATACGTAATGAATGACACAGTGCATTTTAAATACACAGTATAATTCAGAAAGGGGCATTACTTGCAAAAAATCATCACATCAAAACTTCTTGCATATAAGGACATTCAAATCTTTGTATGTTACAAATTTAATTGGGCTGAAGTTTCTAAATAAATAATGGAATCAAAATTTCTTGGTAATATACAAATCTATACATTATGTCTGAAATACATACAAAGTTTCAGGAAATTCAGTGCAGGAGTTATGCAGACAAACTGTTATTAAAATTCCTCAGTGATTTCGATTTGTTGATAAGAGTAAGTCCATGTCCAACACATGACAAGTTAAACATTTAAATATTTGATGGAAACAAAATTATAATGTAGTCATATGAATTTGTTTATATACTGTACTTATAAAATTCCTTAAGGCAAAGCAACGATTTGAGAGGGGTGGGGGGTGAGAACTACCCAAGATTGTGTGTGTGTTTGTGTGTGTTAAATCATTAATATTTTGACCTCAAAATCAATAGGGGTTTTTAATGTCATAAAATATTTCACATAAAATTTCATTACAAAAGCTGATTACAGTGGATTTCCTTATTACCTAGCTGGAAAGTTTCTTCAATAATAGGCAAAACTCGGCAAAAATAATGGAATCTGAATTTCCTGGTAATATGCATATCTACACACTGTGTACAATATCTGCAAAGTTTAACTAATTCTGTGCAGCGGTTTAAGAGGAGTTGCACTAACAAACTGTTCATCTCTATATTCAAGATAATGGCCAAAACTCTAAGTTGAAAAGTGCCGAAATTCTTAGAAAAATAATAGATTTGGAATTTCCTGGTAATATGCACATCTACACACTGTGTACTTATTATCTGCAAAATTTTACCAAATTCTGTGCATCGGTTTATGAGGATTTGCGCTGTCATACTGTTTATATCTATATTCAAGATATGGCCAAAAATATAATTGAAAAGTCCCAAAATTCACAGAAAAATAATTGAATCAGAATTTCCTGGTTATATGCACATTTACACATTGTGTGCTAAATATCTGCAAAGTTTGACGAAATTTTGTGCAGCGGTTTATGAGGAGTTGCAATAACAAGCTGCTCATCTCTATATTCAAGATATGGCCAAAAATCTAAGTTGAAAAGTGCCGAAATTCCCAGAAAAATAAAGAAATCGGAATTTCCTGGTAATATTCACATCTACACATTGCGTCCTGAATTTCTGCAAAGTTTGACGAAATTCTGTGTAGCGGTTTATGAGGAGTTGCGCTGACCAAAAAAAAAAACAAAAACAAAAACAGGAGGACGGATCAAGGATTTTTTTTCCAGAAGGGAGGGGGGGGGGATTCCATCTGAGTAAAAAAAAAATCCTCACCACAAAATTTCGTGACAAGCAAAAAAAAGTGTTTGTGAAACACTGATGCCCCCGTATGGCAACTAATAGGAAAGGTTAAACTTTCTCAAATGCAAATCAAATATGTTGGTACCCAAAATAAGGTCTTGTCTCGAGGAATAAACCTGTGAAATATGAAAGTCTTAGCAGCAACCATTGAATAGATATGGAAAAAGTAAAAGTTTTTTTTCCCAAAAGTATGTCAAACATCAAGGTCAAGGTCAAAATTAATGGTGCCCAAGGAGAGGCCTTACACAGGTGAAATATGGAAGCCGAAGCACCAAGCGTTCAAAAGTTATGAACAAGGTTAAAGTTTTCCAATAGTAGGTCAAACTCCAAGATCAAGGTCAAAGGGTCAAAGTTTTTGGTATCCACAGGAAGGTCTTGTCACAAGAATTACACACGTGACGTATGAAAGCCCTAGCACCAACCGTTCAAAAGTTATAGCCAAGGTTAAAGTTTTTTCCAAAAGTAGGTCAACTCCTAGGTCAAGGTCAAAAGGTCAAAGTTGTTGGTATCCAAAGGAAGGTCTTGTCACAAGGATTACACATGTAAAGTATAAAAGCCCTAGCTTCAATCGTTCAAAAGTTATGGCCAAGGTTAAAGTTTGGTAAAAAGTTTACAAAACTGGGTCAAACTCCAAGGTCAAGGTCAAATGTGGTGGTACCCGAAGAAAGTTTTGTCACAAAAAATACACATATGAAATATGAAAGCCATAGCTCCAACCAATCAAAAGTTATGGGCAAGATTAAAGTTTTTGCGGACAAACGGACAGACAGACTGACAGACGGACGGACAGGGCAAAAACTATATACCCCCGAATCTTCGATACGGGGGCATAAAAATAAAAAAAGAAAAACGTAAAATATATTTCCCAAACGTGAAAAACACCTATTTCGTGGTTGTGATGATGGGGTCCACGTTTTCTAGGAGGGTCCAAAGTCATTTTTTATTTGCTTCAGTATATACTTTTAATAACTCTGCAAATTCAAGGGGGGGGGGTCTGGACCCCCCCCCGATCCCCCTCTAGATCCCTGCATGCATGCAACAGTAATCCACAACTTTAACTGTAATTTTCAGCATTGAGAAATTATATGAAAAGTATGAAATGATAAGGGCATTCATTCTCAAACCGTCTTTGAATAAATATCTTTTAAAATTTAATATTTAAAATAATGTTTAGCATCTGTAAAAGAAGCAGAGGGATTGAAAAAAAAATATTTTAACAATGTCTTTGAAAGAAATGATATATAATGAAATTAGAATTTTTAACACCGATAGGCTTCGGTAAGAAAATTATATCGTAGAAATATTTTATTACTCATTTTAGTTTAAACTTTATTTCATTTAAATTATACATCATATGTACACAATAAATAATACACACAGGATTCGGAAACAAGGTGTTACAACTTTTATTAATCCGTTTCCTTAAATTAACTATCAACTATAAAAAAGAACATTTGCCCGTGTTGAATGACAGGTGTAATAGGAACAATAACTCAAAAAACAAAGATGAAATGAAAGCAAAATTTAACAAAAATGGAAAAAAAATAGAGAGATATCGTAACATGGAGTAACATTAAGAGTAACTAAGGAATAAACAGTCATACAATACAAATTTTACAATATCAACAATACGGCCACAAGTAAGATTCAAGTTACAAACCTTTTAGTAGCAGAAATAAATTGATGTACATGTTTAAAAATGTTTGTATTAAAGGACTTATCGCATGATCTTTCAAAAATCGTAATTTTATGAAAAATATTATCTTTACCTTATTTATCAATTCGGTGATAGAGAGATGAGAATATGCGCATTATTAACGGAGTTATCAATGACAAATGCAGCTAAATTACGAAAAATGCTGAAAAAATTAATTCCTTATATGATTTTCAATTATTATAGAAACATTAATTAGTTCTAAGGTATAAGGCTTTTAAGATATTTTCGTTTTTTATTCAAAACATTTAGAACCTGTAGCTCTAATTACGGCAATGTTTCGTGATCGGGAAATTATTTTTCAAGATCGCTATCCTTTAAAAAACATATGAAGACTTGCATAAATTAATATTATATACTGTAATGGTTATTGGAAACTGAAAACGCAAAGAAGACCCATATGTAAGGTTAGAATGGAAAAACCTGTCCTCCCTTAAGCTTAAAGTAGACTAGTCCAAAGGGTATATATATAAGACTGCATTGAGAGATTCAGGGTCTTTTTGGGAATGCAGAGCTGCAGTCAAGTGGAAACAGTAGAAATTTGGGTAAGAATAACGGACAAGAGAAAGGGTAAAATAAAAGAAATAGGTTTGCACCAGTGACAAGAATCTCGGGGAATTGAGGCGAGATACCGGGGACTGTAGATCTGAATAAGAACGAAACTCCTAGTATCCGCTATCAATAGGAACCTGGGGCAAGGTACACGGTGCTAAGTCCAACAGTTACCAAGTCATAAGAATTCATCCCACATTATATATTCTTTGATTAAATATAATCGAAAAACCCAGATAGGTTTAAAGAAAAATTATTACACTGTACATAGTCAAATTATTAGATCATAAACTCGGGTAGAGTAAGAGAAAAATTCATCCCCTGAGAACCCTACGCAGGGGTACACGTTACAATACAAAACGAAGAATAACAAAGTTATAAAATGTTTAATTTGTGAATCAAATAAGTTAATACATGTGATAAGATGACAAATCAAATTGCATTGTTATGGCGAGTTTCTTCGTCTTCGCTGCGTCTCCCTCGCTTTCGTCGCTGCTGTTTTTACAATGTTAACAGATTTTTCAGATTTTTTCTTGCTTAAAATTCTAACATATAAGGTTGAATATTCAATTTTATATCGACAAAAAAAGTGATTTGGTCGTCCACAACGCTGAAAATTCAGGTTGTATCGCGTATATTTTAGTAAGATTAATGAAGAGCTGATCAGCCATTGTTGCCTTTGACGTCACAGGGTTACGTGATCGCTATCTAATTAACTTAGATTTTTAATTCAGGGGTTTTCATTTGAGTCAATAATTGGTTAATTACCGCGATTTATCCACAGTAAAAACACAGAATTTATAAATTGTGGTCATAAGGAACGTAAGATGCTTTTAATTTCAAATAATTTAGAAACATGCGATAAGTCCTTTAAAGGAATAATTTCTACCTGGATCTCCAAATAAGAGAATGTTTAAAGTGACTGGTCCTAATGGTTCAATGAAATTTTCCCTTGCGTCAGTGTATAGAGGACATTGTAATAAAAAGTGTGTTGTTGTTTCAATTTTTCCACAAGCACAATTAGGATTATCTATTTTATGTTTTGCAAATAAATGCGAATTAAGTGTACTACAATTGAGTCTAAGTCGTGTGTGTAAGATCTGTTCTGTGCGCTTACCAAATAGAAATTGTCTCGGGGTTTTGTAACAGTTTGCGTTAAGCACGCGTTTTAAATTAGATACTGAAGGATTTTCTTGGACATTTATCGGAAGATAATTCCAAAGCTTTGTAGTGGACGGTAGAAAAAATTGTGCATAGTGGTTTGTATTAAACTTTCGTTGAGTAATGCAGTGTGACCTTCATGTAGGATAATGATGTGTTTCATTGATTCTTAACGGGATTAAAGAAGATAAATAATCTGGAGCACTTTTATGGACCATGGTGTGAAATTTGATTTCTTCGATTGTGCAAAGTATTCTACCCGACTTCTCGATAAAGATCATTTAAACCTAGGAGTTTTGTCGCACCTAGCTGAGACTATGCGAGCTGCCTCAATATTGATTTTTTTCGAGTTTATCAGCTAAATCGTTTGGGATATTGTCCCAAAATACATCCGCGTACTCAATAACTGGCCTTACAAATGAAAAGTATAGTTTCTCTAAGGATTTTCTGACTAATAAAAATCTGAGTCGTCTTAGAATGTGTAACCTAGATGACACTTTCGCCACGACAATATCAACATGATATGACCATTGATCGTTATCTGAAAAATGTAATCCTAAGTGTTTATGATGTGACACTTCACTTATCGTGTGTCCATTCAATTACAGGTCTGGATGTGAAGTTCGGTTACGTTTGGTACTAATTGTTAAGCTTTCAGTTTGCTGAGGATTAAATGTAACTAACCATTGATTAGACCATTTGTGGATTTTGTCGAGATCACCATTTAAGGTCGTACTTGCGATAGCCGGATTTTCGACAATAATGTATAAGGTGGTGTCATCCGCAAATAATTTGATAATGGATTTTATGTCAAACACTATATCATTTATATATGCAAGAAATAACAATTGGCCCAATACTGAGCCCTGGGGCACACCAGCCTCAATACTGCACCAACCCGATGCTGATGAGTTTATTACAACTCTTTGTTTACGACCTTGAAGATAATTTTCGAACCAATGGTAAAGTTTCCCTCCTATCCCAGCTTGTCGAAGTTTATAAAGCAAACCCTTGAGCCAAACCCTGTCAAACGCTTTGCTTATATCACAAAACACAGCACGCACCTCCTTCCCCGAGTCTAAGGCTCTACCAATATCGTAAGATATGTCTATTAATTGATTAACTGTTGAGTCACCGGAGATAAAACCTTACTGATTATTACAAAAGAATTTCGTTTCTACAAAGTAACTATAAATATAGTTGTGAACGCATCTTTCCATGACCTTCCCAGTAATACACAATAATGAGATTGGTCTATAATTGTTAATATCATTACGTTTACCTTTTTTGTGAACATGCGTGACGTTTGCTTGTTTCCATTCCGTAGGACACAGTGAATTTTGAAGTGATTTGTTGAACAATTTGCATAATTGAAAACTTAAAATTCTCGCAGCTTCCTTAAGAAGTCGCGGATTAATGAGGTGTGGCCCAGTCGCCTTCTAAAGACGTATCTAATGAAAGAAGAACGTTTTTAACTTCGTCATCAGTAAGTATTATTTCTGAATACACATGATCGGAAGCGTTGTTATTACTAGTATTTGGAAGAGTCGCTGATGAATCGTCGATTTTTGACTGGTTCGTAAAAAAATTGTTAAAAGCAGTTGCTTTTTTTCAAAATTGTTATCGACTACATTGCCATTAACCTCTAAGGGAGGTAAGTCATTACGGATCTGAGTGTTGGATATTTTATGTACCATATTCCACCACTTTCTTGAGTCCTTACACTCGGCAATATTTTTTGATAGCTTTTTATAGTAGTCATCGCGAACATTACGTACAGTGCATATACACTGATTTCTTATTTCTCTAAATTCAGACCATTTGTCAGGATTATCAGTTCGTTTAGCGATTGAATGTGATCGTTTCCGTCCACGGATAAGTGTTCGAATTGCATTATTCATCCAAGGAGGATCAGATTTTCTAATCGTCACTGTCTTATTAGGAATGTTATTTCTAGCATGCTTTATAATAGTTTCATTAAATCTTTTTACATTGGTGTCGATGTCAGAATCGGACAATATTTCTTTCCAGTCGATTGAGTTCAGGCCATCTTTATATGAATCGTAATTGCCTTGACTGAATAACCAAATTTCGCGCTTAAATGAGTGAGAGATTTGATCATATTTACTTATCAACGCATAGAAAGGACAATGATAACGTACATTCTTGTCCAGAAAACAATCGCCAACATAAGCTTTTTCCAGAATACCGTATATCCAGGTTTTTTCGCGTGTTGCAAATTTTGCGGAAAAAAGGTAGATTTGTACAGTTTTTATTTTGCGTAAGTTATTCTTTGCGATTAATTTTTTTTTAAAAACGGTAACGTTTTTATGGCACACAATAACCAATATAATTTCTGCGTGTTTTATTTTTTGCGAATTAAAAATGATCGCAAAAAAATGCGAAAATTAGATCATCGCGAAAAAAAGGGATATACGGTATTACTATCACTGACTATAATAATATCCAGAAGTGTAGAAGTTTCTTCGGTAAAATGGGTTGGTTCTTCAATAAGTTGGGTCATGTTGTACATAATAACATCCAGAAGTGTAGAAGTTTCTTCGGTAAAATGGGTTGGTTCTTCAATAAGTTGGGTCATGTTGTACATAGTCATTATATTGATAAGATAATCAGATTGATAATTGTTGGTCAGTAAGTTTGCGTTGAAATCACCTGTGATTATTATTTTACTAATTTTAGTGTTATAAGCTAAGTCTATGGAGTACTAATATCACTCCATATAGATACTGGAGAGTTTGGGGGTCGATAAAAGGTTCCGTACAGATAAGATTGGCCACCCATAAGAAGTTCCAACCAAACACACTCAACCGCGGTTGGTTCAAGGTCAATTTGCGTTTTGCGAAAATATTATCCTTGACATATACTGCCACGCCCCCACCCGTTTTCGTCTTGCGACAACGACAAAATGGAGTCTGGAAGTTATGTATATCGATATCTGAGGTAATGTTATCTTCGTGAAGCCATGTTTCAGTGAATGAAAGGATGGTGTGGTTGTGAAGTTCTGCTTTAAGTATATAAATCTTGTGAGTTAGACTTTGGACATTTAAATGAGCGAAAGTAAATCTATGTGGGTCAAATGATGTGTTGTTTGAAGTACTTGTTGATAAATTACATGTAGATATTGAATATGTGACAGTTGGTGTTAAGGTAGGTCCTGGATTCACTTCATTTTCACCTGACAGGAGGAGAAGTGAGTACAAAAAAGTAAGAAGAGACATAGATATATACGGACATGAATTATGTAAAATAGGTGCACTGGTAATGGTAGAACAATTAAATGAGATATCATCGTGCATGGTGTTGTTTAGCCCCATGTTTGCAAATACATGTAGAAGTATGATAATATGTAGACATTTTATGTTGTATTGTAAGAGTTAATTGATACAAACAAAATCAACCAAACATAATGATGATTTGGAAAAAAATGGCAATGTGATAAAATAACCCCACACTACTAGAAATATCTACACACATTAATCAGGTAATTCCTGGGTTTTGGTAGATTTTAATTGTGAAATTTCGGGTCAGGTGGGGTAATATAAATTAAATGAAATGATGATGACTGAATAAGGGAACAAGTGGAATTGGTCCGCGTATAGAACAACAATGTTACGAACATCTCTTTTTTATAAGCAAGAAAAAAAATGTACAAATAAACACAAAATATGTACACAATAGAATGCAAGATGAGGACATTTGTAATAGTATGGGAGTGGGGTTTTGTACGTGGTAGGGGTGAAAGGTTAAGTTTAAAACTTAAAGATATTTTTTGGTATGGGTGTTTATGTTGAAACTAGCGATATGGAGTACTTATTACTAAGCACAATGTCAATTTAGACTAGTCTATATATGTAAATGTAGAGATGTTTGTAAAGACATGATTTCTCAATCATAGGCTATCTTTAAATGATTGGCAAAAATGTTATTTGATTGAATACGGCAAGGCACGATGTAAATCAACAGAGTGGTCTATAAGGGGCCACCCTCTTTCAACACGTGACCAGAGGGGACTAGATCTGACTCCTTACGCACCGCATAAGTCCTGTCCACATTGTCACGGACGCTGATCTTACCGTTGGATGTCCAGGCCTGCTTTAACGTGCGTTCTCGACAGAGCTGCCTGCAGAAGTAAAAAAAAAAAAGACGATCACGGTATTTAGTTAGATCTTCGTTGATAACAATATGCTTAGTCTCAGAGTTTTTCCGCAGCTTCTTAGCTTCCTTCATTAGTGAAAACTTGACATCGGTAGATTGGAGTCTGACAATGATTTGTCTCGCTGACTGTCTGTTTCCGTGGGTCGCCAACGCGATGGGAGGTCACAATATCAGAAGATGTAAGCGCAACTCCCGCTGATGATGCCACTTCCAGAAGCTTTTCGGTAGTTGATTCATCAGGGGTCTCAGGAATGCCGGAAACACGGATGGGGGGGGGGGTACTCATTTTCAGCGTTTTGACAGAGGTAAATATTGTAGTTTTAAGCATACATACATTTAATAGACTATAAATGTTAAGAGGATGTGAAAATATTCTTGCACTTAATCTTTTACTTAAAGCAAACACGAGATCAGTGGGGAAAAGAGTGAAAATTCCCATATATAGTTATTTTTTTATTACTGAAAAGAGGAACAATTTCCTTTCAGCGTAAGAGTTACTAAAGAAGGAAATTGTGCCCATCCTGTTTAAAACAATCAAAATAACACTCGATGTGGACAGGTTGACATGGTTAATAAGGGATTGTTACCAAATACTAACACGAAAGACAGGAAATACATAAATACCTTTAATATCATCTCACATTATGTCTAATGAAAATAGATTTCGAGAGTAGGAAATGTGCAACTTATTTTCCTATTCCAGGCCACAGTAATGCACTCAGTCGAAGGAGGAAGTTAATATTCATAAATTTAAACTGCATTCGCGACAACAAAGTAGATATGTAATAAATTTGTATAAATATATTTGTATATATATATAAAGTTTGTTTGTACTGGTTCGGATAAAGATATTGAGTACATTATGTACAGACAATATTGAAATATCTGTTCGAATTCCGGAAAATTATATCATTGGAATTAATTTCTCATCATTGATTTTACATTTTTTATGAAACAAAACAATCAGTTCTGTGGCTTTCACATGAGTAAATTTCGGGGAAAAAATCAAGATCTTGATTATGAATTTAAACGACAGTTTATTTTCTGCAAGCTGGGAGGAAAATGTAAACAAAATCAAAACAAAATTTACAAAACTATATAGATATACAATTCTGATATTCACAGGAATTCTCCGATTCGGAGACACTGGCATAATTCTAAAAGTTATACAACAAATGAAAATAAAAATAAAACTTGTCTAATCGAAAATTGTAAACTACATGATTGATCCAAATGAAAACTAAATATAACCAAGGAAATTTTTTTAATACCAATTTTACACAGAAATTTTCACATTTCTTTAGGATACAGTTATATTAAATCCCTAAACACGGGAAATTCTGAAGATTGTAACTGAAAGTAATCACAAAACAAGATCTGTTTGTGAAACACTGATGTCCCCGTATGACAGTTTTTGACAAAGGTTGAAGTTTCTCAAATGCATGTCAAACTCCAAGATGAAGGGATAAAAAATGTTATTACCAAAAGAAAAAAAAACTTGTTCTCAATGAATACACCTGTGAAATATGAAAGCCCAAGCACTTATCATTAAAATGTTAGTGTTAAGATTAAAGTTTTGTAATATGAGTAAACACTAAGGTCAAGGTCAAAGGGTCAAATTAAAGGTTCCCAGGGGAAAGTCTTGCCATAAAAAATACATATGTGTAATAGTAAAGCCCTAGCACCAACTGTTCAAATGTTATGGCCAAGGTTTAATTTTTCAAAAGTAGGTCAAACTCCAAAGTCAATTTTTTTTAGTATCCACAGGAAAGCCTTGTCACATGAAATACACCTGTGAAATCTGAGGCCCTAGTACTAACTGTTCAAAAGTTATGTTCAATGTTAAGGTTTTTTAAAGTGGACTCCAAGGTCAAGGTCAAAAATATATACATCCATGGAGAGGACTTATCACAATGAATACACATTAGAAGAGTGGAAGTCCTAGCCCAAACTGTTCAAAAGTTAAGGCCAAGTTTAAGGTTGAGTAAATTCTTGCAAAATTGGGTCAAAATCCATGGTCACAAGAAATACACATGTCCAACCAATTCAAAGGTTTGGGCAATGTTAAAGTTTTTTTGCGGACAAACAAACAGACGGACGGACAGGGCAAAAACTATATGCCCCTGGATCGTCGATTACGGGGGCATAAAAATGCGTTCTTAAACAATGAAAGCTCACAAAAAAACATGTACAGTTTCCGATTGAACAACCGACCCAAAATTCATTTTAAAAGCAATTCACCCTTAATTAAGTAGGGTTTAATACAATTTAAACAAAAATAATGCTGTAACTCCTTTGCATGAAGATTTAAATGTATCCTTAATGTTTTTTAAGAAAATTTTATATTTACATGTAAGTATAAAATTGATTAAAAATTGTACTCAATTTCGAAATATTCTCACTAAGGGAAAAGCAAGTAAAACAACAATTATAAAATTGATTGGTCTTCCCTGATTGGAACAAATCAATTTTTTTTATTTATATAACTTTATTTACTGAAAGAAAGATATAAAGTGAAGCTGGCCAAAAAATATTTTTATTCCAAATTCAACTGGGGAAATTTATGATTTGACCGATCCGGTTTCATGTTTATCGCCATTCGTATAGGAAGCCGAAGATTAAAAATTCAGAACACTGTTCTGGTAAGGGTGCAACGATAAACCGTTTGACGGTATATCGCGGTATATTTTTCCACGGTTCAATTCACGATACGCTAAACTGATATCGCGGTTCGTTCAATCGGTCCAGAATTATTCGAATCGTCCGTTTTGTTTCCTTTTTCACAATTTCAAAATGGCTTCCCCGCAAAACGTGTGGTCGCTGATAACGCATTACCGGAAGTTAAACTCATCTCCAGTATCTTACAGACCTCAGATTTAACACGGAGAAGGAACTTAATGTGATTATAAGTTATAGATGTTAAGACGAATGATAAACTCTTTAGATCTAAACGTATTCTTTAGAAATACATGATATTTCATCAAGTGTGTATTTCGATGAAAATTCATTGTCTTGTTGACTAAAACGTGTTAACACAAGAAATATGACAACTGGTTTTCTACGTAAATAAAAGGAATAAAAGAATGAATGTATTCCTTTTTCATTCCAATTTAAAAGGAAGATTATTAGGAAAGGTCCCCGTAGTTCCCTGTAAATATTCATCATTGGTTTAGAATATTGTCAAAACTCAAAGATCTACATAACAATCCAATTCAAGTTAACGAAATTTTATTTTAATTGTTATTAAAAAATATGAACATTTTATATAACCCTGTCAAGTTTTAAAAAATATGATGACAAACTTGAAAGACTTTTTAACCTTGTCATGTATCGTGATACGTATCGTATCGTGAACTGAATACCGTGATACGTATCGTATCGTGAGGTTAGTGTATCGTTGCACCCCTATGTTCTGGGGAAAGTTTTTTTTAAAAGCAAAGAGCAGATTAATTTCGGCCCAAACAAAAAGGATTAGTTTATGTTTGAGGAATTATGACGTATAATAGTAAATACCAATTGTTAAAAAAACTAATCTACAAGACCAGAATCTTAATTGATTTAATATGACACATAATGGCTTTGCTGTTCTTTTTTAATCTTTTATTGATATATCCTTTTCATTCCTTTGTGTAACTATGATCCCCTGTTATGGCCCCTCTATATTCTTTGGGAGGGGGGGATCATGATTTGAACAAATTTAAATCTATATTATATGAGGATGCTCTTGTATAATCATGACCAAACATGGCTTTGCTGTTCTTGAGAAGAAATTAAAAGATTTTTTCCTATGCATTCCTATGTAAAACTTTGATCACCGATTGTGGACCCACCCTACCCCTGAGTGTCATTATCTGAACAAACTTGATTCTACCCAACTGAAAATGCTTCCACATGAATATGACTAATCATGGCTTTGCTATTCTTGAGAAGAAGATTTGATCGCCCATCGTGACCCCACCCTACCCCCTGGTGTCATAATTTGAAAAAAAAACAACTTGATTCTACACTACTGATGATGCTTCCATGACTAATCATAGGCCTTGCTATTCATGAGAAGACCCCGGGGGTCATGATTTGAACAAACTTGAATCTTTACTACCTTTGGATGCTTCCAAATTAGTTTCATATTTTTTAGCACAGCGTTTCTTGAGAAGAAGATGTTTAAAGGATGCCCTTATTTTTTCCACAAATTAGTAATTATCCCCCTTGGCTTATGACTTGGCCCTTCGGCTCAGGTGAGTTAAAAATCTTCTTAATTTTTTAAAGCAATGTTTTGTCAAAGGAATATAAAGCATCCTGAGTTCAGGTAGATTCAAGGTTGTTGAATTCATGACACCAGGGTTCGACCACTTATATATTGAAAATTTTCAATCATGAACTCAGATAAAGTGTTCAAATGAGTGATGCTGCCCATGGGCCTTTTGATAAGAATGCCCTCATTATTTTTAAACTCCATAAGACACATGAAGTCACATGTAATATAGCAAATCCATATAATCAATTATTATCTTAAGAATTCGACGTTAAGCATAGATAAACCATGCTTGAAGATTTCGTAGCATGAACTCTATGTTCCCTTGTGATATAGACTCCTTTTTTGTCTTCTTAATTTTTAACTACTGATTGTCATCAAAATGTATAATTTCTAAATCATGATAATGTTCTTTCCGTGTTCTTAACTGAATACCGATTTAGCATTCTTATTCTCCTTCAGGTTAAAAATACTGGCGCAATTCCTCGGTACTGGCAACGGAGACGCTATCAAGCTCCCTATATTGGTACATAATCCTATTGTTAAAGATAATAAAGTATGAAAAGAACGAAGAAAAAAAGAATCTATTTCATTAGTTAAGAAACTTAAAATTGATAAGTGAAATAATAAATTATACATACTGCTCTTCACTGCAAGACTGCTCTAAAGTAGAATGCAAAAGCATTGTAATCATTTAATTCGGTATGTTGTAATTTAAACAAAAAAGAAGATTCTTTCAAATGGTTGAATGAATGAATTATGGAAAAAAAATTACCTCTATTCTGTATTTCTGACATTGGAAGTTCTTGACATCTTGTTTCCCTGAAAGATAAAAATTTCCTATATCCCAATCTCTATCAACATTTGATAGATATTATAAATATATTATAAAATAAGTCGATATCATCATTCTTAATTTTAAAAGTCAATTTTATCAGATATTTAAGTTTACATCAGCCGAGTTTATCAGATATTTAAATATTAAGTAGTTGGTTTTATCGGGTATACAAGTTTTATGTCAGTCGATATCGAAAAAGTACTTGTAGTTAGTTACCTTCTTGGAGCATTGCTTCCTGAAATAAAGAAACAACTTATTTTTTTAAAAATGTAAACTATTGCAGAATTTTCAACGCAATATGACATGATTTTCTTTTTTATATACTTGATTTTGGGGATGTGTGTTCAAATACAGAATTATTCTTCTGCTTTCTGAACTTTGAATTTATTTGTTAATTTGCAAGATTGACTTTGATCATTAACAATCGATAGGAAATATGAATTACACTGATTTCAGATTTGACGAAACATAAATAGAATATGAACTGTACCTGGTACGTTTGAGATCCATGATATTAAATCGTTACGTTGTTTTCGCTTCCAGAGAAGGTAGATGATGATAGATCCTGCGAGGAGAACAACTACGGAGGCTACTGGTATTATTATGGTCAAGGCGTGGGTCCATGAAGTAGCAACTATAAAGGAATTTTCTTATATTACAAATTATTTATCTTAAATAGTTAACAGGGGATGGCTATACAGTACTTTAAATTGCATACTAGAAATGTATTCATGAATTTTTCGCTCCAAAATTTTACATTTAACTCGAAAGGAAAAGGCTACAAACTTCATTTATGTGAACTCCATGCACACCTACGAACTTTACATAATCCCAACTTTTTTGACATATTTCAATAGTTATATATCTGTTAAATAAGTTTTAAGTGCTCAAATTTCTCCAACAAAAGTTAAATAGAATTCACTGTAAAACACACAAATATTTTGATTTATTAAATTTTTACAACATTTTTTTTTTACACATCTAGATCCTCAATATATGTTATATTCTAGATCAATGATGTAAAATGTGAATATACAAATAGTATATTCTTTTCATATTAAAAAAAAATGCTTGTAGGAATTAGAGAACAAAGAAATATTAAACAGTTTCAAATTCACTGTAAAAATACTTTTATCTGCTCTAGCAAAATCGTTTATTACAGTAAAAACCGTGAATCTATTTCAGACTCTAGTCAGTGATAGTAAACTTGAGTTCTTAGGTTCACCTTGGCTACAGAGGGGCCCGGTCCACCCCTCGTTACACCCCCTGTGACATATCCCAGTGACCAGGTTACAGGTCCCCTCTCCTCCACAATATTCTTTACAGTTCTTCTGGCAGTGAAGACCAAATGATCCATTTGGACATTCTAGTAAATAACAAATTGATTTTCTTTTAATCTAAAACAAAGCTAGTCTAAATACATAACTAGGTATTATTTTTTCATAGGAAAAAAACCCGCCAGAGATTTGTAATATTTTGTATATAAAAATAAGTTATTTTATTTTTTTTTTATATGCATAAACGTTGTTTAATTATTTACAGTTTTACCTCCCCTGCAATATTTTTTATGCATACGAGACCTCACACCGTATGTGTGACATGTGTTGTACAGTACAATGAGAAACATTTAATACAATTAAATATTCAAACACCCGGCACATCGGACCTTATGTCATTTTAACAAAAAAATGAAATATATAAATACACAAATATTACGCATAGCGGTTTTTTTTTGTTTCAAGGTAGTTTTCAATATTAAAATGTGTTTTGAAATCTTTATACAAACGTAATTTAGGTAGTTGTTTTATCTTTACTAGCCATTCACTCTCATAATTTTAAAGTATTTTTTGTTCAAATTTAAAAATGTCTAACAGTAGTAACCTATATATGTATAAACATGTTCAGAATTCACCAAGTCAAAAAGTAATTTAATTTGCGACGTCCAGCTGTATTTATTACATTGATTTAATTCCCGAAAGAAAACATGTTTTGTTATGCAATTGTCCTCCATTGTCAGTAAACGGTTCCAATATCGTACAGTGCTAATGCACTGTCTATGGAAATATTGTCTTTTGTAATATCTACATGCACAAAGATTTTAATATGCGCTATGGCTGTAACAATGTACACGCATAAATGATTTTACATAAAGTTATTTTATTACATGCATCTTCATTGTTACCTAAGATGTTCCTTCGACGCGCTTGATTCTTTAAGGTGAAAGTCGCAGGAGTTTCAGATGTTTAATTTTAATTCGAGACCCCCCTTTTACAGCAGGTATTGGAACGATAACGAATCCCTGTTACTTAGACCAACGTTGTTAAACCTGTTGTCTGTTTTAAAGTTGTTACATGCACGTTAATTTGTAATATGACATGCACTCCAGTTGTTACATTTACTAACGATCAAACATGAACTTTGTTAAAGGTACAGCTGTACTTATTTTAGTACATATATTTAGATTGCGGTTTATTTTTTGTTTTAGTTATTAAATAGGTAACGTATTTTTTTTTCGATTTTTTTTGCCAAGTGTATTATAGGAATTTATTTTTTTTTTAACTACCTTCTTCACATTTCTCCCCCTCCATCCCCTCCTTACAACCATTGAGACAGGTCCCGTTGACATGGTGACAGGTTTCTCCGTTTCTACAGTGACCACACGACATAGCGCATCCGGGTCCATATCTCTGATCTTCACAGACTGAAGACAGAAATAGGTTAAAAAAAACATCAAACTTAAATCAAATGAGATTAAACAGTAGGTGAAATATATATGAGTAATGAATGTAAGACAATGTATTTTATGAAGGAGTTTATGAAGAGTATGTATACACTGTTGTTACTTTATACATACTCTGACTGCATCTAGGTCCTTGATAACCTGGTGCACAACCCAGACATTCTCCTGTTATGATACCACACCTACGTCCCTGGCAGTTACTTGGACATGGTTTTGTGCAATTTTCTCCGTAATATAAATCGTTGGGACAGCCTGTTAATGGTTTAACAATAAACTGGTAATGATAATAGTGAAAAAATTTACTTTAAAGAATCTTACTATTGAAAAATTTAATCCACAAATAAATCAGTTTACTCAAGCTTACCCCAAACCTGCACTTCACACAAGTCATTATGTGCATATTTAGAATAATAACTGGGATACGTCACGCCCGGCCTTCGCTCGTTGTAGTATATAACATATCGTCCTTGAACAGAGCAGTTTATTCGCTTGTCTTGAGATCTTGACTCATAACCCGACTCTACGTAGTGGAAACAAAGATGACCGTCGTCTTTTGATGTTGTGTTTGAAACGTAGAGGAAAAATCCTCCAAATCGATCCTTCCGTAATCCAGGACCTTAAAGTAAAGGGACAAAGAAACTACGAAGAACTGCTACCTACTTCCAAATACAATTTTATGCTAAAGATTTCAATCGTAAAGAAGAACAGAAAAACTGACCATGAAAAAAGAAAAAGAATGCTTTTTCTTGTGTTGCCGAGATAAAGCTAACATATTTTTTTTTGTGTGTTACTCGACAAAAAAGAAAATATTGTCCATTTCAAATATTATAGTTCATCGAAACTACAGTTTATAAATATATTTTTTCTACATCTTCTAATCCTGGGCCTTAATATTTAAACTGATATTTAACAGGTTACGTCTGTAATGTTACTTAATTACTTTGGATTTACTTTAAAAGGCAACGTCTTCCTAATCATTAGTATAATTATATTGTGCACTGCATGTCTAAAGAACTTTTTGAAAAAGGGGGATGTAAAAGTCCCAAGATGACAACTATGGAATATATAGATACATGTATAATGTTTTTATATGGTATTTGTAAAACTTTTATTTAAATACCCATCTGACAAAATTGTCACAAAATGTATTTCCTAAACTATTCTTTTTTTTGTTACAGTTTATTCCAAAAGCTTTAGAAATTTCTGACAACCACTTATATTTTGAGATACTATCCTAAAAACTATACTGATCTCAAAAAAAAATTCTGACTTGATTTGACTGTAGTAAGACGGCACCGCCTAACTGATGACATACTTGGTCTGTTGTCCGTCAGGAAGTAGATGTTGATGTGGCTGATACTGACTATACTGAGTAGGTCCACTCTCCACGTCGCTCTCCACTTGTGGTTTTTTGATATTGTACATTCGAATCCCACTACCGATCGGTCATCATACAACCCATCCACTGCTTTTTGTGCCCCCCAAAGATCTCGAACTTTACAAGGCCATTCATCATCCTGATATGCAGGTTTCCCTAATGCTAAATTATCTTAAAAAACAAATGTTTATTAAACTTTTCTGATAATCATTAGATAATCATAAAGCGTATAAACAAGATGGCAAATCGCATCAAAAAAGGAACATTTGTTTATAATACATGACGAGTTTCCTTAGCACTGGTATAATGAATACGAAGTCAATCAAAATTCTTATTAGACGTATAATCAAGATCTTTATGACACAAGGGTTGTATTTTAAACCGAATCGTAGATTCGATACAGATGACCTTTCCTTTCTGAATGATACTAGTGAAGCAAAGTGACCTTGTTTTGACCCTGTAGTATAAACATGTCAGTTCAAGGTTATTTTCTGAAGGAGACTTGTATTTGCGCGTTTGCTACTTCACAGCAGATAACCAAATTGTGACGATAACTTGTTTTCGCTAGATAAGAATTTGATATTGATAAGCTAGGGGAAATTTTTCACGAATTCTGATTATTGTTATATATAATACGACTGTGAAGTGTAAGAAATAAAAGAGGGTTCTCGCGAATAAAAAGCGATTAACAGTAATTTGATCAATATATTAAAAAAAAAAAACAACATTGATATGCTAACGAATAAAATGCGCGATTCATATTTACAAACGTATATATAGGTAAAAAGAGGTGTAGTTTGTAATAGCAGAAAAAATATTTTCAAAACTTAAAAAGTGGGTCATGGTTATTTCCTTCTTAAATTGCATTCGATGCTAAAAGTGAAAGAAGACGCTGATATTCAAAAATGTTTTGACATAAATTGACATCATTTTCTGAAACTACTTGTAGATTTTAATTTTTAGAATAGATAGAAACAGGTCACGGCAGCCTAGTGGTAGGGCGTCGTAAGTCACGGGTCTTTCGCATAAAACCTTAAAAACCGAGGTCCTGTGTCATGGAAGGCCTTTGCACGATAAAGAACCGTCACTGCTCAATAGCCCTGAGTGACATCGGCATACGGTAACGTCTCTATATGAGTGAAAAATTCTCGAATGGGTCATTAAAAAATATACAAATCAATCAAAACTAGAGACAACTTCATCGCATTTCATTTTTATGTTTTATCGAATATTTACATTCAAAAATATAAAAAAAAGAGTTAAAGTACAACAACCATTAATTTCTTTGTACTGGAATGAATTTTTTTTCTTTTGGTTCTAAAATTCTAGCTTACCGTATGCTGTAGTATGCGCCGCAGACAAAATAATCAGTATGGCCAGAAGAATCATTCTATTGCTTCTTGCTGAAAAAAAAAATCACCAACATAATCATAAAGATACCGTAAACGAGAGTCTTAAATTATTTTTTATTTTTAAATCTTACCACTAAGTAACACAGTAAAGAAGCTGCTGGTCGGAAACTGATAAATTCAGGGGAAAAACCCCGCTTTTTAATGTCAATTCAAAAGGAAGTATGGTATTTTTATAGTTTGTAAAAAAAAACATATGACACTAAAAATATACATTTTATTACTTATTTCCATTTTCTCGACAATCACTACCATATTGATATTTTAGTCTTTGTGATTTAATTACAGTTGTTAATTGGGAATTACGTCATTTTAATGATAGTTCCTTAATCCGTACTTCACGGGTCTACTCGTGGGCGAATTCATATACCAAATTTAGCTCGTTTCTTGGGATGGGTGTAAATTTCCAAAGAAAAATAATCTTTATAAAGGAAAAATTACCAGTTATAAAATAAGTTAGAAAAATTTATTCAAGCAGTTATATAGATACTTGAATAAATTAACTTGATTTAAGAGTAGGTCTACTATGTAAAACACCTCTACAATAAATAATTACAAGTAATTATAAAAAATCTAATTTCTAGAATAATTTCCTTTAAGCCTTTGTAATTTTATAGAATGTGGATATAAAAAAATGACTTGCAGTCTCATATTTTAAATATATTTCTCACTAATTTTTCAACTCTGATCATTATATATACATATATATGATTGCCTTTAATCAGAAATTAACTTGTTAATCGGAAAGTAATAGTAACAATCAAAAGCTCGTACCATTGCGATTTACTTTTATCCCATTTTACTTTTCCATTTTTTATTTTACTTTTTATTCTCTCTCTCTCTCTTTTGTTATCAATTTGATAAACAAACATGAATACGGAGGGAAAACATTTATTAATTAAATACTAAACATTAAATGAAATAAGGTTGCAGTACATGTAAATGTGTTGAACATAGCAGAAAACTCGAGTTTTGAAGACAAAATATGAAAGAAAATATATTCAAAGTTCAGAGTTGTTCACAGAGTTGTTTACATAATCAACATAATTTTTCTATATAAGTTTATAAACATATGATAAAAATATTATTTACATCCCTGAATGAAATATTGTTTTAGTCTTGTGCAATTAGTTGCCTGAAATCGTGGCTGAAAATATTCCAATCGGGGCGCATTTTAACCTGCAACATTACTTCGTCTCTTTGGATTGTAGGATTTGAAGCAATCAATATTAAAAAATAACAAAAGATAAGTGGAAAAATTTCCAAATTAACGGATTTCATAAAAAAAAGAATTTCATGTATGATTATGTGACATAATAATTATCCAAAAGGTACATGTAATTGAGATAATATAATTATCTGTGCTTGGCCAAGACCCTAAATTGAGGCTAAATACTATAAGTATATGTACTAGAAAATTAAAATGAAGAAGAAATAAAAAAAACTGCAAAGCTTGAAAGTTCAGAGGATGTGCTTAAAAGGAGTAAGAATACCCTGTTGAACGGTTACATCCACCGTGGTCCCTCTGTATTATTCAGGTGAACGGGAGTTACCCTTAGTGATAATGGTATAAAAATAATGGCATCACAATTGTTGGGAAACTTGTCAAACATAATACGACATAATGACAGAACATAGTTATTTGATTATCAGACTGAAATTGGACTTTAAAATCTTATAATCATGTTTCTTATAGTTACAGAAAATAAAAAGTCATTTAGCTGGGCATTAAAATTATAGACCATAAACAAACTTCCTTAAATATTACACCTATTTCAATCTCAGGGTGATATTTATAGCACATATTACTATATAGGTTTAAATACATAGTGCATTTGTATATGATTCTGCCAAATGTTTGGCATGTGTGCTACGTGTTTACACTGAAAACCCTCTTAGTTAGTATATATCATTTCTGTATTGCGATCTTCAGGAAATATAATCTCCTTTAATGTACATGTATATTGAAAAAGGTGAAGATAACGAATAGTGATAGATCTCAAAAAATCTACAAATACAAATCTGTGAACATTTAAAGATTCTGTGAATCTGTGTTGTTAAAATCCCTGTAGCATCAACTTCTCTGTGAGTAGGTGATAGCGGAATATTGATATATAAATAAAAAAAATTGGAGAAGCCGGTCATCTCCTTTGTCATACAACTTAATTGTTAGTTGGCCCTTTCAGTCTATAGTCAGTAAACATCCAAATATGAAACAGATGTGGCAGACTCTGTGGTGTCTTTTAGTTCAAGTTCATTGGGATATATCGAGTTGACATGATTAGAAATAACTATTGTTAATTAATAAAACGTCGTCGATATGTTAAAGGCCACGGCAAGTGTTTCCTTCTTCTCATGTTGCAGTTTTTGTATAAATTATGCTTCAGAGGAATAGGAAAACAGGTCCGCTAAAAAGGGGGCACAATTAGTGCCAATCGAAATTCCATATTTATAGAAATAACTATTGTATAATTTAAATTCAAAGTAATTGTCTGTGGAATCAGAATGAATTTAAATGAATCAATTTTAACATTTCCGAGTTCCATTTTAATTAATGAAGTAGTTTTTCTGTACCAAAAGTCCTAGATTTCAAATTATCCCAAGGATAGGTTGTGTAAAGTGTAGAAAAGTCGTACGCTTGATGATATTGACTCTTGAAAAAAAAAGGTGATCTTAAAGCTTTTATAAGCTCCTTGGAGATTTATAAAATCAACATCCGATATACACGGCTTGTAGAACATGCTGTAGTACAGGTCGTATATAAAGCTTTTATCAGATCTTGACTTTGCACCATGATATATCGTACTTAAACTCAAAAGTAAGTAGTTCATTTAAAAATCTCTAAATAACACAGTTTTATAGTATGATATTTTAAAAGCGTAAAGATATTTATATGGCCAAAAAGCATAATTTAGGCATGAAAAGCGGAAGAAATACGCCACAAGCGAAAGGGTAGGCAGGTCTGCAATAGGGCTACATATCAGGGATTGCACTCCTAGATTTCCTTTTTATAGTTTGTATATATCAATGTCATGTTTTTATTTCCGGTGAATATCAATAAAAAAATCTACAACAAAAAAAAAAAAAAAAAAAAAAAAAAAAAAAAAACTCATCGAGATAACAAAATTAAAATACCCCAAGAAAATACAGCTCATACATGTAATTAAAGTCAGTGAAAATTTTCCTCTTACCTCTATATGCTATATGCATTGACTAGAAATAAAATTTCCTAAATATGTGAAGCGAATTACTTCATGTACAGTCCCTGAAACGTTCTTCTTTCCCATTTTTCTGTTCGCTCACCGTTCGCAAAGCGTTCATCGTTTGCTCTCCGTTCGTTCATTTTGCGTTCAGCGTTCACTTATCGTTCAGTCTTCACTGTCATTCGGAACTCCCAAGTGAAAGGACTTTTTTTTTTTTTTTTTTTTTTGGAAGTAAGGATTTACGGGATTTGAAATTTAATAATTAACATAGCGTGTTTAAAGGATCATTATTTCATGAGAAAAAATTATCTACAATATGTTTTATTATTATTATTCTAACTTAGCTGTTAGGCTATTTCTTAAATTAATCAGGAAAATAAATGTTATTTTAAGTATGTACCTATGTAGAACGATGCTGATAAATTAAATTTAAGTACGGGCAATATACGGGTACTTCAAGCACTGCACCAATCTGTTGTTAAGTTAAAGACGACAAATCGTTAATGAAGAGATACTAATCCATGTCAATTAATTTACCAGCTGCAGCAAAATTACGACAGTATTTGTTACTAACACTCTTTTTCAATTACTATAGAAATACATTATTAGAACTAGTTCTGAGAATTATAAATAGTACTGCGGATATCCAGTTAATTAAATATCTTCGGAGCGAATTAAATTGATAGTGTGGTTAAAAAATATTTATTTAAATGTAATACACTACAATTCATAAATAAAGTCTAATATTAGAGAGAAAAAATTTCTTTATTCACAATAAATTTATATTCATTCGATATGATAAAGACACCCTCCCCCCTTTTTCCACCTACATGTAAATCGGTTACTTAGACAGCATTTCCAGTATATTTTAACTAATATTTAAAAAGAAGTTAATGCGTTTTATAGCACAGACATTTCAGTCTCAAAAAAAAACCATGCATCTAAGGGAGTATGTTTCAAATTCATTCCAAGTGTTTTTGCCAAATGTATTTTATTTATTTACTTTTTGGAAAAGTTGGAATCAGATCTAGAAATGATAAGAAATGTTAAAACTTCTTGGTAATACTGCAGTGTAGCACTTCGCCTTTGGTGTGACGAGACTTTCACACCTGCAGAGTGTCGAATGATTTTGAGAACTTAAAGCAGGAAAACAAAAACTGATTATGACTGTGAAACAAAATGAAAAATGAATTTGTTGATAAAAAAGGTTACTTTCACTGCCTGATATATTTAGATAGAAATTAAGAATTTTTGTTTATACTGGTACATGCACATGTACAGTCATTTGTGGAAAAAGGGGGGGGGGGCTAAAACGGAATCTCTCACTCTCTCTCATTTGTCCGTTTAATCAAAACTATGACACGTATTACTTAAATATAAAGTTCTGAAATTTTAATCTATAACAAATGACATGAATGCTTCTTTGTATCATCTTGTCCGAGTATAATCACGGGGAATTATCTACAGGTACGTGTAGATTGATTGATTGATTGTATGTTGTTTTACGTCCCATTCGAGATTTTTTCACTTATATAGAGACGTCACCATATACCGGTGAAGGGCTTCAAATTTTTGACCTTTACTCGGCACTCAGGGCCATTGAGCAGTGAGGGATCTTTATCGTGCCAACGCCTGCCGTGACACGGGGCCTCGGTTTTTAAGGTCTCATCCGAAGGACCCGCAACTTTCACTTCAAAGTGCCGAGCGCATGGCGAAGGAACAGTTGCTACCCATTTTTTTTATCGACTTAGGTCAGTCGCGGCCGAGATTCGAACTCAAGACCTCCCGATCACGGAGCGAGCGCCCTACCGACTGAGCTACCGTGAACGGTGGTACGTGTAGAATTCTGTTTAAAAAATTATCATAAAAAAATGAAAAGACACATAAATAAATTATTGCATTAAATTTTTAAAATACGAGTGTATACATGCAATACGTCCACAGACCGTAGCAAAATATTTTAATTTTTTTTCTCATTATTTTACACGGAATCGCCTTGACACGGAAATACATATATGGTTGTTACAGCCGTTGTAATTCATTCTATAAGTC